TAACCCCTAGCAGGTCTCCAACTCCCGTTACTTTAGCCACTTACAAAGCGGAAAGTCCTGCCACGTGCTAAGGACCAAAGCCTTTAATCGATTTGCCTTTCGTCTTTCGTCGTTAGCTAAAAATTGTTGCCTACTAAAAATAAACGCTTAATGCAAATCAACAACAACAACAACAAGGACAACAACAACAATAACGACAACAAGCACAACAACATCCGCAAACAACAACAATGGAAATTTTGAAAAGCAATTGCAAAATGAAGTCAACAAAAAGGCGTCCAAAAATTTTCAATTTGTTTGCCTATGCAATGGATCCGGCTGCGTCTCTTCCCCTCTCCCTCTCCCTCTACCTCTCTCTCTCTCTTTCTGGCTCTCGCTTGTTGTTTGTTTTTGCTATTACACACACACAAGCAAATAAACACACACACACACACACATAGATGCCTATCTATGTGTATATCCATATTATTTTAATGACTGCATTTAGAATTTTTATGCATCCTTTTAGGCAAAATGCGAGCGAATTTAGATATCCATCGAGTCAATGTTGACGCTCGCCCCAGCAATTTTATGCATGTCTACTGAATTTCAATTTTTGATTACATTTTCGAAAATTTTCAAGCATTATACAGATAATAATCAAACCAGAGATATTCGCTTAGCCGTATTTGGATAGCTAAATAAATCAATATATTTTTAACGAATTCATTTTCATTTATTATAGCTACTATAAATACTGCTATACTACTACTAATACTATATACTATATAATATAAACATTCCCTATACGTATCTCTAGTCAAGTCTCTACATGCTGAAGCGTCAAAGTGTGAAGCTCTAGCGATATCACGTGATATTATATATTTTTAATATTTTTCCATATATATATGAAGTCTTATATATTTATTATATTTTCATCTATATATAATTTGCCTAATATATTTAATTATTTTTTATATAAAGTCGTACATATTTAATTTTTTTTTTACATATATAATCCTAGTGACATCAACAAATATATTGCTTAATCGCACTATAATATATGTATATATATTTACTCTATAAAGGAAAATTTTGAGAATTATTGCCAACATTTTTATATTTCTGGTATAAGTATCATTGAAATCTATTTGTTTTCTAGACAAACTTGAATGAACGCTAGACAGTTCGAATAGATGTCGAGAGGCTAACCTTATATAATCGATAAGGTATACAAATCGATTAAAATCGATAATACGGCTTTTGCTACTTAAACGTATCCAAGATATAGATATCGAGAGACTAACCTTGCCTTATATAATTGATAAGGTCTACAAATCGATTAAAATCGATAATACCACTTTTTTTTTTTTTTCTCTTTTTTTTTGCCACAACATGTGCACGATAATGGAACATGACCAACATTTTATTATTATCGTTCAAATAACAGTAATGAAGCTAGCTGCGAAAGCAACAACACAAGTGCCCAATCACATCTATCATAAAAGCTATTGATTATATTACTCACTATCAGAGTCCATCCATTAGAAGAAGTGATAAACCGAAACTAACTAAGACGACAGCAACTAGTAACCCACATTCGCTTATTTGCCTATAGATAACACTAAGCAACTTGTTGTGCACTTGTCTTTAAGTGTGTCTTAGTCTAGCTCAGAACACAGATGTTCTATATGAACTCAGCTTGCTGCAAAGCGATCCGCATGAAATTTACTGCAGCTGCTGCCTATGGCAGCTACAATGAAATATATGAAAACTAGTTAAATCGCTTGGATAGATCTGAGCGAAAATGGAAAATATGTAGAATAATGAAAATGAAAATCTATGCAATATTTCTTATATGTACATATTCATATGTATTATATAATAAAAATGTATATTTATACATGTATGTACAGTAAATTCGATTTGTATATAATTTCAGCAATATTTCATATAAAACATGTTAGCCGGCTTTGCGCGTCTTAGACCGGGCCACGTAGCTCAAGCAATTGCTGTTCATTTGGCTTAAGATATACTTAGCTGTCATTTTAACTTTTTGACACATTTTCAATGGGCGTGGGTGTGGGTGCATGTGTGTGTGTCTATATGCATGATATATATATGTATATATATTTCTTCTTTTTTTTTT